ACCCGATTTAGTGGTTGTATTTTGACTTGGTTGAAACTAAAATTTTTCAAAGGAAAATTGTGGGGTGTTTCTAACTTGTTTCAACCCTTACCAAGTCATTATAATAGTCCCCATATAATTAGCCTCTTCCAAAAGGTTAACGGACAGTTAGATAAAACGAAGCTTTTTAACGGAAAAAGGTTAAAACTGACGGAATAGATTTCGGGTTGTCACACATGTCACCATCTAGTGGCAATACTTGGGGAGAAAGCAACGGCCAAGATTATGCCACGTCACCCATTTCCGCACAGCACACTTCCAACCTCTAAAATTCGTAACTTTCACAAACGACCTCTGTTTTTGACATTCTTTATATCCACGCGTAGGTAAAAATAAGATCTACAACTTTCATTTTGACTCCATCGGCTAATTCTCGACCGATCTTAAATTTAACAGTACGAGGAGATTATACTGTTAAATGTCCACGTAAAATTCATAACTTCTATATATGGACTCTGTTTTCGTCTGTCTTTTTAGCGTCGGCTTCCTATTAATGAGATCTTCAATTATTATTTAGTTCGCGTAGGCCAAAAACCACTCAATCTAAAATTCGAGTTTCGGGTTGTGCACAGCTAAGCCAAATTTTAGAAACTTCATAACTTCCTCATACGAAGTCATATTTGGGCGTTCTTTTTTTGTATTTTCTTGGTTTAACGTATACTACAAATTTTGTTTATATTTCTAAGGCTAAAAATTCCTCCGTCATAAATTCACTATTTACATCTCCCGGTGTCGTGTCGGTTTTGCCATAAAACTTTGATGGACCATAACTTCTTAGTTGTAACTTGGATTTCAACGTTCTTTATATGTACGGAACCCTTGAGACGTATTCAAAAACTTGATTAATACTATTTATTCTAAATAATCTTTTGTCAAAAAGTCGTTTCCAACCCCTATTATCTCTAAATTGACTAGCCAGAATCTACGGGCGTTACAATTATCTCCCCCTTAGGATGATTACGTCCCGGAATCATCAACGAAATAGGGATCACATGATGACTCCATACGTTATCTCTTCATCCTAAGTAATAACCATAACTTTGATGTTTCTTCGAACGACTATCTAACTCTAAGACTTCCTGATTGCAGACGATGCCCGATCTTGCACTTTCTCCCTATCTCACGTTAGACTCCAAATTATGACCTTCAAGTCACAATCTCGATCCTTACTAGAGACTGCTTCTTCTTCTTAACAAACTTAAGATAAGTTATTTTATTACTACAATGGACCGATGTGTCATATTCTAATGACTTCTCATTATATGTTCCTAAGCTTAGACTCAGGTCTCTTAGAGTCTTCCAGAACAGACTATACATTTCTTCATGTTCTAATCACATCTAAAAAGGTAGCATTTCTAGCTACAAGCAACTATCACGATACCTCTACCGATCACTTTGATTATATTTTATTTCAATCTTCCGACTTAAGTCAGATACTACATCAAACTTGGTTCTCTGAACCATGTAACATACTTATCGTAGTCAGACTCAATTCGATATGACCACTAGGGTCGGAATAACAGTTATCCTCTTAATCATTACCGAAACGATGGTAACGACATATTTGAATAAAACGGTATCAATTACTAGCTTCTTGGTAACCTTGTGACTTACCCTGATCCAAGCGTGAGTCCTGTGCTTCTGGTAGTATAGACCTCTACTACCTTTCACACCTACTCATACTCATCCCAAGTATTGTCTCGCGGCTCACCCAAGTCACCATACAAGAAAATCACATAACAACTTGACATATTAGATAACAAAACTAAGGTTTTATATTATTCCTTGAAATAATTTACATAGGTGTTCAAGTTCAACCTATACTATGCCTCTAATAGGCTACACCACGTGGTACTGTTTACACGACTACTTCATAGATCCTCATTCCTGATCCCTTTCATTTCCATCTTCAGCCATTGTAATTAGATCAGGAGCATCTGCTACAACATGTATTTGTTCAATCACAGGTGGCTGATTCCTGTTCCCATTTGCATTCCCGACTCCACTACGGGTTCTTTCCATTTCGATATATATACCAAATCAGACGTTCGATGTGCAATGACGAGAATTAAGATTGGAAAGATTTTATTTACGATCAATGTGTAATTCTTCCTATTTCTTCGAAAAGTTATATTCCAGTTCTAATACCATAATTAAACGTTTCTAAATTTGAACACATAAAGTTTCTAGATTTGGTCGGCAACAGACCATAGATCCGATCATACAATGCATACCATAATCATTTAGCACATAAAAGCATGTTAGGCATTTTCCCTAAATTAGCTAGTGCTTGTGTGTATTCAGGTGCTTTACCTAAATTTTATTAGACACACTCCTCACAATCCTTGCTTAGCATTCTAAGTTTAAGTTTAGAAATAAATCCGTATTCCTAGTTCGCTTAAACTAATGCTCTGATACCAACTGTGACATCCCCAATTTTCACGGCCAGAAAAGACCAATTTTTGTTTATGCTTTATAAAAATCAGAGTACCACTTTGAATAAGAATGTTGCGCAATTTGTTCCCAGTAAAACATGATAAATACGCTATCAAATCATTTCCGAAGAAAAGTATTATTATTCATTTTAAAACATTTGGGATGTCATCGTCAATACAGAAACATAAGCATAAACAGAACTTATATTCATTATCACTAGTGATTTATATCTCCTTAATCTCTCAGTGTAATGTGACTTCATATCAACACATGTGATATAAATAAGTTGAGTGGGTCAGGTTGGGAAACCTGGTGACTACATAGGGTTTTCAACCCACAATAAATAAGTTTATTAACTTTATCAAACCAAACAAACTGAATTACCTGTTCCCATTATCGTCACTTTACGTCCCTAAAACATCTAACACAAGGGACCTAGTCTAAGGGACTTTCATCCGGGTGACAAAACATGCTTCGGGGGTTCCTCAACAATTCATGCCAAATAAGGCAACCATGTGGTGGATGGAGTACTACTGGTGAGCACACAGTTCAAATAAACACCTACAAGTTGCGAGCTTGCTAGCGTTCCGCTAGACTGTCTAGAATAGTCCGTGCTCGTCATATATACTCCGTTAGATGACAGGATCATTAATAACATCTATATCGAGGCCTCTTATTATTTTATTTGGTCACACAACAAATATTACATCTACCCATGTTTTACTCAACACATTTTGTATATATAAAATACATATATGGTTTAAATCATTTAAAACGTGTATAAAAATATTTCACCCAGCATAGACAGCAAGTATTCAGACAATATGCACGCATAGCTCGTAATTTATATTAAATACTTCATATCTATGTGTAAGATGAAAGAGACCATGCACTCACAACACATAATATATATTAAATACTTCATATTTATGTGTAAGATGAAAGTAACCATGCACTCACTCGATAAGGTGGTGAATCCGAACTCAGACAACGCTTCGCTTCTTTAAAAAAAAATTGCCTTTGACGAAACCTAGTATTATTACCACTAGAGTTTAGTCTATTAATCGCCGAGACTAATTAATAGTCTAGCTATTATTACTATTATAAAAGCGTTAACCAATACTTATATAACCCATAATAATAGGCCAAGTACTTATTATAAGTTCCTAATAACGTTACTATAATTAAATAAACGATATATTAAAATTAGCGTAGGCGTAGCTCACTTATAGCGGGTTTTATAGAAAACTAGGATTTTCTTGGAGCAACGTTCTCGAGCCGAAAAGCTCTTCTTCTCGGAGCCATCGAGCACTACGATGTTTCCGCCTCGTGCTAGGGAGGTTCCCTAGGCTTTTCGGGGGTTTCGAGGCTAGAGAGAGGTTCTAGATAGAGTAAAGAGAAGAAAATATGGGAAATGTGTGAAGAAGATTAGGTTTGGAGAGGTTCTATTTATAGGGTGAAAAACGGATGAACTTGGTGCCACATGTCACCATCTAGTGGCAAGACTTGGGGAGAAAGCAATGGCCAAGATTGTGCCACATCACCCATTTTCGCACATCACACTTCCGACTTCTAAAATCCGTAACTTTAAAATACGAACTCCATTTTTGACGTTCTTTATATCCACGCGTAGGTAAAAATACGATCTACAACTTCCATTTTGACACTGTCAGCTAATTTTCGACCGATCTTAAATTTAATAGTACGAGAAGATTATATTGTTAAATGTCCGCGTAAAATTCATAACTTCTACATACGGACTCTATTTTTGTCTGTCTTTTTACCGTTGAGTTCCTATTAATGAGATCTTAAATTCTAATTTCGGTCGCATAGGCCAGAAACCTCTTGATCTAAAATTCGAGTTTCGGGCTGTACACTATTAAGCAAAATCTTAGAAATTTCATAACTTCCTCATAAGAAGTCAGATTTGGACGTTCTTTTTTTGTATGTTCTCCGTTTAATGTATACTAAAAATTTTGTTTAGATTTCTATGGCTAAAACGTCTTCCATCATAATTTACTATTTACGTCTCCCGGTGTCGTGTCGGTTTTGCCATAAAACTTCGACGAACCATAACTTCTTCGTTATAACTCGGATTTCAATGTTCTTTATATGTACGGAACCCTTGAGACGTATTCTAAAACTTGGTTAATATTATTTATTCTAAATAATCTTTTGTTAAAAAGTCATTTTCGACCCCTATTATCTCTAAATTGACTAGTCTGAATCTACGGGCGTTACATTCTATCAAATTGTCTATAATGGTGATGTCTCCCTGTTGTCCGAGTTTAGGAAACCCTTCCTTCCTCCAAATGTGGAATGGTTTGTTAACGTTTCTGTTCAAGAGTTTCTCTGAGAGGGTTGATGGTTCATACAGTGCAAGTAAATTGTTCTACACTCTTATTTATGGGCTATACCAAGGTGTCAATCTTGACTATGATTATATTTTGTGGACTTAACTCATTCAAAACACCGTTTCCACCACTCGACACACTTAGATTTCATTTTCCATATTCTGGTCGATCATGGTCAATCGTAACCTAAGCCACTTCAAAGTCCCTTTGTTGAAAGGTTCTTTAATGGCTGAAATTTCGACACACCAAACATCTACCTTTGTGATGTTAGATGCTAGAAACTTTGATTTTGTTGGTAAAATATTGGACGCAATGTTGGTTAGGGTTCCTCTTGACAATACAATTGTGAGGGAGTATCGGAATTTACGTTCTTCTGGTGTTCGTCCGATGCCAGCTGATCTTCGACAATTGATTGATGAGAGCACAAAACTGAAGAGGGGGGGTAAAAGAAAAGCCAATATTGCTCCGTAGAAAATTTTCAAAACTCCCAAGAAGACAAGGAAGCCTACTAAGAAACGGAGATCTCCATCTCTGGTTCTTCAAGACGAGTCGGATGAGAGGACTTTAACAGAACCTCAAGAGGTTGACCCTCTTCGGAATAAGGAGGAAGATACTGCTACCACTTCAGAACCAATTCCTACAGAACAAATTTCGAAGGTATCTTCTCCACCATCTTCATTTGTTCCCACTTCTAATATCTTTCATACTATTCTACAAGAACCAATTATGAACCTCACTACTACTCCACCACCACCACTCGTTACTCCACCAACCTCACCAATTAACTCCATAATTCTAATTTCTTCCGTCCGTCCATTACCACCAAATAGCTTTGTTGGAATATCTCTTCCTCATATCTCAATTCCTCTACCCACGCCTATCTTTACTGATTCCACAACCCCTACTACTATTGGATTTAGTGTCTAAGCTCGCAACTATAATTGGTATGTACTTGACCCAAGATTAGCATGGTCTATTTGGGTTGCATGGAACCAAAACAATTTGTAAGGATGGACTTATGAGAAGAGGATATTTATGATTTATTAATATAAGTTCTAATAATATGAAATCATATTATTTAATTAGTATTGATCAAGAATTAGTTTTGTGATCAAAAGAGACTAATTAAATATAAGGGGTCGATTGGGTAAATCATTCATTCTTATGGTGTGCGCCTATGATCCATGATTTCTTATGTTCGGCTAAACCTATGTGACAACCCATGGATGATCCATAGGGGTTTAAACCCATGGAGCATGAGGAATGTGGAAGGTCTTGCACATTAGGGTTTACATGGTGTAACCCTAGTTTTGCCACACTATATAAGAGACCCTAAGGCTACCAAAATCGGCACCTAAGTGAGCTTAGAAGAGTGCTAGCCATTTTTGTGAAGCAAGTAATCCTCTCTCAAGTCCTCCATTGTTGGTGGTGTTGTGCGAAGCATTTAAGGCATCATATTTGGCGTGCTAGGCTCTTAAAGGTCCAAGGAATCAAGCTACAAGGAAAGGTATGTGTTCTAACTAGTTTTTGTTATATTAGTATCCATGTTTGTATGCTAGATAGGGAAATGCTTTGGAAAATCATTTTACATGTATATCTATAGAAAACATAGATCCAAAGCATTTAGGGTTTTATGTGCACCTTAAGTTTGTTAGGATGCTCAAAACCCTTCAGTGGTATTAGAGACTAGGATTGTTTTCTATTATACTTGATGTTATATTGATTTTCAAAGTGTAAAAAATTGATTTTCTGCTTTCTAGACAGTGAACTCGCCTAGTCCATTGGGTGACTCATCGAGTCCACTCAGAAAAGTTTCAACTCGACGAGTCCAGTTCATGTACTCGCCTCGTTGGTGCTCCAGAGTGCATATTTTCGAGTTTTTGGCAGAAATTGAATTACGATCATTACCCCCAAACTGTTTTTTGAACCATGAAACCTGCTTTTTCATAAGGTACTGATCATGCTTGTCCAATTAAAAGATAATTTTCAAAGTTTCAAGATTTATATTAGTATATATGATTTCTTGAAAATTATTGATGTGAATTATCTTTGCTTATGAGTTTTGCTAGATCATAGATATTATTTGACATTTCTTGTTAGTTCAATTGTTGATCTAAATGTTTTTAATGGACTCCATAACTTGTCCTCAAGTTATGGAATTCCAAAAGTCTTTTTCATAAAAGTCATTAAAACTCATAAGTTATAGAAAATGAAAAGTTTTAAATAGTATCAAAACTTGTCCTCAAGTTTTGGAATCTGTAAAGTCACACTTAGATATTTTAATTCCAAACCCTAGAATTTTAAAAGTTTGAAATTCAACCCTTATAATAATAATAATAATAATAATATATATATATATATATATATATATATATATATATATATATATATATATATATATATATATATATATATATATATATATATATAAGATCAAGTCATTCTTACCGTTAGTATGTCTCATTCACGAAGTCGGTCTATAAGGGGGGTATAAGGTTAGTACCTATAAAATGGCAGTTTAATTAGTGTCCACTCACACTCAACACTTCCTTGACTGTTGGAGGGTCGTTAGCCAAACGGATAGGATATGACATTAAATCTCATTAAGTATAATGATAATTATAAAGTAACTATATCTTTTTATAAATTCTCAATCTTAGTTACTTTAGGAAAATGTGAAATGGATGTTAATCCATGAAATTACACTTTGCACATTGCCAAGTTGTTAGTGGAGCGTGTGTAGTTAACTGACACACTAACATGGACTAGTAAGGGTGGCAAAGGGTGGCTTAGTGTTTATCATAGATCGATAGAGCGTGTGTGGTTAACCGGCACATCGATTAGGTGATAAATGATGTTAAGAGTACCAAGTTAATTTTCATGCTTATTCACACTTTGTTTGTGATCCTCAGTATCCTAGTCACAAACCTAAAGGGCATAATCGAGATTTAAATATGTCATTGAATTGTTTAATGTATCTCAAAGGATTTAGGAGTTTTAATCCAATTAAAACGTAATAATCAATTTCGTTTTTCATGGTGGAAATTGGTAAATCGTCAGTTACCTACCTTCAAATATTTTGCAAGTTGGATTACGGCATCCCTCTTCCAATTTGTAAAATATTGTGTTGGGTCTTATCCTTAATATTTCATTTTTGGGTGTTATATTAAGGACTTTTTATCTAATCTAAACTTTATCTTTCTTTCTTTTCAGATGTCTTTCAACACTGCTTCTGGATCAAACCCTACTAACTCCTCTCACATGAACCTTTGTGAGAGAGTAATCTTTGATGGTTCCAACTTCAATGACTGGATTAGGAACATCAGAAAGGTAACTCTCTATGAGGACAAGGAATATCTCCTTGACAAGGAGCTAAAGGAAATTGATGAATCTTCTGCTACTCCTGATGAGTTTGCTGAGTTTAGGGCACATGAGAAGGATGCCACCAAGGTAGCTTGTATCATGCTTGCCACTATGTCAGATGAACTCTAAAAGTCCTATGAGGACTTCTACCCTTTTGAGATGCACCAGGACCTAATAGGAAGATACCACCAAAGTGCTCGTCAAGAGAGGTATGAAATCATATCTTCCATGATAACAACCAGGACCTGATAGGAAGATACAAACAACACCTTACAAATACTACTTCCAATATTATGTATTATGAAGTATTCACAAATTTATGAAAATATAGTCTAATTTTTTTCTTTATAACATTTTTTTTATTGATGATACGTATTTATTCATCATTTTATTGTAATTATTTTTATTATTTTGTATTCATGTATTTTTCTTATATTACATTACTTTCTAATTTTAAATAAAAAAATATATTATTTTTATGATTGATTGTCTATATTTTCTTCAATTATTATAATTTTATATTCTATTCTATAAAATAATCATTTTATCATTAATCTAGATAGAAAAAATGTCTCTCTTATCTTCAAAACATTTAGTATAATTAATTTAAGTTTGAAAGTTGGTTTACTTTACAAATGTATCTATTTTAAAATCAACTATTATTATTATTACGCATATTAAGTTTCAAAGTTGGTTTACTTTGCAAAACCGTACAATAGTTATAATCTAGTTTTTCTATAAACAAGTAGGACACTTTCAAAGTTGGTTTACTTTGCAAAACCATACAATACACGTTATAACCTAGTTTTTTCTATAAACAAGTAGGACCGGACATTATGTTATATCAATTAAATGTAAAACAATTACTTCTATAACTTATATTTTTTTGACAATGTATATAATAAAATATTATTGACCGAATTCCTTATAACCAAGTAGGGCTAAACGTCACAATATATCACATAAATGTAAAGCAATTACTTATGCAATTAACTTATATTTTCTTTACCAATTTATAGAATAAAATATGCATGACCGAATATGTGAGGCAACGAGTTCTCTGCCTCTGTGGCTAAGTTTTGAAAATTTAAGAGAATGTCACGGCAAGACGAATAGTTTATTATTACAATAGGTGTCCAATAGAATTGCAATGATGTATGCGACTGAGGCATTCTAATAGACCGATAGACTATAAAATTGTTCCTACACAGACCTATCAAATTGATCGGGCACTCGTCATCTATTTTCATTGTTCAACTCTGAAAACACCGCAAAAACAATTATTCAACTCTTTAGGATAAAGTTAGGCCATTGATTGCGAGAAGAATGGAGGAAGAGATAAACATGCAATGGTGATATATTCTTAGTTAGACAATGTAGGTTGAGATGAAAAGTTGAGAATCGGAAGAGTAGAAGCTGAAGAGAAAATGAATGGTAGGAGGTGGCTTAAAGGGTGTGGAGGTGGGTGAAGGTGCTGTAAGAGGGGGAGTAAGTGGTAGAAGGGACAAGTTAGAGAAGATAACAGATGATGAATTATAATAAAATAGAAGTTATAATTATTTATGTAATTAAGTTATATTTAACTTTCATCGATTTATATAATACAAATTTCATGTCCGAATTATGTTGACCATTAAAATATTTAAAATAAAATAAAATATACTTCTAGTTTTTTCTTACCTAAAATCTTTTTTATATGATTGTCAAATATAACAAAAACTTTATTTATTTTATTAATCATGACAAATATAATGCTTTTAAATATAGAGAAAGATAATACAAAGAATAAATCTACTCTAATAAATAAAAATCTTTTTTAACACATATCACATTCTTATTCATTTTGCCAAATATGATTTTATGGTATTTTTAATTAATTTTTATTTCACATATCATTTTATGTTTTTTTTTTAGTTTTATTAGATTTTACATAGTATTTAAATGTAATAATATTTATATATCAATTTCGTTAATGAACTTTAATTTTAATTTTAAAATTACTCAATTAAAGGCTCATTATTTTCCTTTGTTTGTTTATTAAAATATTTGTTTTAATTTAAAATTAAAAAACATTTTAATTTTAATAATTCAATATGTTTTCCAATTTTCATATAAATTCAAAATTTTCAAATGTTTAGAATTCTATATTTAATTTTTTATTTTAAATAAAGTCGTGCAACTTTAAATAAATATTTGATTTCTCATACTTAAAATATAAAAAGCATTGGAAAATTTTGCACAATAGGCAAGTGGTTCTATAGTTGGCACTTAGCAATTTTCTATTCACAAAATTTGTTACCAGAAATGTACGACCGTCTCGGTATGCTAAAAATGTACGAACATCCACATATCCTAGAAATGTACGACCATCTAGATATGCTTGCAGACCAAGAAAAACTTACTTAAAGCATCTTTTCTCCTCTAATTTCCCTTTGTTAATTTCCCTTTCGTGATTTATTATTATACCCTCCATTTAATCCTTCTTAGATTTATATTCCAATAAACCAATATTTATGCGATCAAGAAGTTACTTAAAGCATCTTTCCGCCTCTAATTTTCCTTTG